GTCCTTCTCTCTTCAATATGCAAAATGTAAATTAATAAATCTCTGTATACAAATGCTGATTATTTTTATGCATGTGCAAATTATTTTTATGTAGGTTTATTTTTTATGTGTCAGTATGCATTGACATGGTTTTTTGATTGTTGGTGTTTTGTGGGTTTTTTTCCCATAATAAAATATTATCAGGATCTATTTGGCTACCAAAAGCAAAAGAGATCAACTTGATGAGGGTAGTTTTGCTTTTCAGGTCTGTCTGTCTCTATCAGATGTCTTCAAACAGCAGCCAGATGCCACTGCCTCTGACCTTGTAGTGAAGAGATGGTACTCCTTCCTCTGCAGCCAGGTCCTTCTTTGCTGGGGTGAATCAGGAGGCTTGAAGAAGAAAAAGAAGTCACATCTATCCTGGCAGGTAGAGGAAAGGTGCAGGTGCTAAGTTTCTAAGCTAGAATGACTTTAATTTAATTGTAACTTGTGTATTTGTAAGTTCCTTAGAAAATTAATCAAATGTCCTCAGATCAGATCTGATTTTGACAGCCCCCCTATATCCTTAGGACACTCAGTGCACATACTGTGCATACATATCCACCAATATAAACTAGGGATCTGTGAGTGACAGTAACATAATGTGTATAATGCATGTAATGGAATGGAAATATCAGTTAGTAATGTACACACTGAATTTAAACTTTCACAAAAATAGCTTCAGGAAGCCTGATGTTTGAAAACACGATCTATTTAACCAAGTGTCACTGAGTAATAAGGCAAAGGGACAAATTTCAAGATCTACACTAACACAAAGTCAATAAATGCATGTGAAGTCCAAAGATGTGATAGACAGATATATTGTACAAAAAGGATTTCTTGGACAGATTCTGTCAATATAAATATATTCTGTCGGCATACATGTGCCTTGTCATGCTGCCTTGTCATAATTGCGGTCTCAAGAGCTTTAATTATCTCTTTAAACCATCGGTATTTACATTTGGTTTGTCTCATGGTCCTTCATTGCTAATGTGTCACAATCCTTTTTTTCCCTTGTGGGGGTGACAACTGGTCACTCTTCATTAATAAAATGACAAGTCTCTTATCCATGTTGTATTCACAATAGGCTTTAGAAAGTTAAACTTCAAGAGAATAAATTCCCTCTGTGGTTATCCTACAGAACACACACTTCAACAGGAAATGCTTATACATCCTTGTTTTTCTTCTGCCAAGACTAAATTCTATGTTCCAAGACTAAAGTTGGGATGAAAATAAGAATATGAATTCTTTAGTGAAACAGTGACACGTATGGTCAAATTTTATAAACTGTAAGGTAATAGGAAAAAAATGTATTCCTGTGAACACAGTCACTTCACTAACAACATAAATATATAAAGTCGTCTAACACTGTTTTTAGATACTCTTCATGAAATCCAGCATTAGCACAAGACTTCACAGAATCACAGAATAATCGAGGTCACAAGGAAACTCTGGAGGTCATCCTGTCCAACCCCTCTGCTCAAGCAGAGTCACCTACAGCAGCTGCCCAAGAGCATGTTTAGACAGCTTTTGAGCATTGCCAAGGATGGAAATTCAATTTGATCAGACTTATGTGTTCATATATGGAGGTGGGTGTCCTGTTCTTTCCAATAAAATCAGGGAGAGTTAAAGACATGAAGCATTTAGAAATGAGGAATTTTTACAACAGCTTGAGTGAAACAAAATTGAATACAGTGTCAGTTTAGTGTTCCTTGATTTCTTTCTCATGGATATGTTTTTTTTCCTTTCTTGGGTGAAACCACAGAATATACTGTATGATAAACCATGAATTACTGTTGCCAGTTTACCTTGAGATTGGGATTGTGGATACCTCATAAGTGACAGTAATGATGGTGCCTCTAAGTGAGTTTCTTCCTATCTAAAATTGTAAGCTGTCCTTAACAGTCGATATAATTTTGCTGGACACAACGTTATCTGAAGCCATTTTCCAGCAGGCTGTTGATTTAAACAGGAGTCACAGAAATTGTCATTTCAGAAGGTGGTCTTTTCAAAGTGTGGAAATGCAGATCCTGGTTCCTGGGCATGCCTGGAACATGAGAACACTTAAACCCAAGCGACTTTTCAAGCAAGTGACAAAACAGGTATTTCATGGGCTGGAGTGGGAAAAGGCAGTGCATGTGTTGCTGTGGCACATTCAGCCTTCCCCTTGGAAGCCAAGTGGTGGCAAATGCAGGTGGCTGTGAAAGCTGCACCTGCACAGGTTATACACCTATTCTCTAAAGTCCTACTTTCGTGCCCTTGGCAGGCTGAGCTTCATTTCAGCAAACAGCACAGGAGATGTGGTTAAGATACAACACTGGACAGTCCAACCAGCCCCATCAGGGACCTTGAGCATCTGGATCTGACTTTTCTCTGAATATATAGTATGAGACTAGACAAATACTAAGCAAGAGATTGGGAGTTCCTACGTTTTAGTGAGGCCATAAGGGAAATGTCTAGGCATGCGTCTCTCAAGCTGCCACATTTCCAATCTGAATGTAAACTTGGGGTACTACTGTGCTAGAATAAGATTGGTTTCATGCCTCTGGCTGCCGCGACACACAGGGCTTAGGATGTGGGGGGTTTTGTAGAGGTGTCATACTTGTGCTGATTTCTGGCCCTCTTAGGAACCAGCTGCAGCGTGGCGTGGGTTGGGCCCTGCAGGGAGGCTCGGCCGGGCAGGAAGGAGGCACAGCCGGGCACTGGAGCCGCGGCACTTTGGCCACGCGGTTACCGGGGCACGAGCCACTTACTGACAGGGCTAGTCTGAGTTTGCCCACAGCAGATTGCAGTGACTGCAAAGTAAGCATCGCCCAAGGCAGTGGAGCACTCCTGCAAATTTTATTATTCTTTAATGGTTTTTATCAGAAAGGGAGTGTTTAGGCCTAAAAAGAGGATAAGTATGGAAGAAAATCACCACCTCTGTCCAATGGGACCACTTAGAATGAGGATTAGTCATAAAACTTAACAAATGCTGGAGACATTTACAACTCTCTTCTAACATAATGGCACCTATACCAAATACTTATATTAAATTGCAAATTTTATGTTCCATAATGCTATGCACAATAAATTAGCAAAGCCTCTATCAATCTTGATGTGAATATGAAGACAAACCCAAAAAATCATGTTTATTGTTAAGGATAAATAAAGTAAAACACTTTATTGCTCAGTGATAAAAGATTATAAAATGCCTTACAAAAATAGAGCACATGCTATAGTCCATCAGAATAAAAGGATTGTCTGATTATAGAAAAGACCTAAAATTCAGGAGGAAAGGAAAAGATGAGGTTTAATGGTACTATTTCATGTTAAATTTTAACTTATAACTTATTCTAGAGAGAATGAAATAAAAAGTTTAAGGAAATCTATTCCTAGGTTAAAAAAAAGAAAGTATCTGTTGAAGGTTAGTACTGTTATAGTGAAAATTGGTGGCTTATTTCATAGGAAGATGTAGCATTTAGTTTTCTGCATGCATTCAAGTTTGTTTTCACAAATGGTGAGATAACAAATCATGCTTTCTCTTCTCAGATTTGACTAAGTCGTGACTAGTAACCAACTTTTACAATTGCAAGAAACGAAATAAGAAACAATTTACTTTACAGTTTTATAAAGTTTTTCATCCTGATTGATCACAAGGGGCTGTACAAGATGTAGAAAGACAATAATTTAGGTTTGGCTGTGCTGCCTTGAGGCAGTGTGGTAATGCAAGAGAGTATGTAGAGTGAAGCTGGTTGTGTAAGAGCATGGTAGAGCTGTACCTTGCTGGCACTTACCACATCTAACACTGATTTGGCCTTGGGCAGGCATTTTGCTGCTCAGGCTATCATCTCTAATCCAAGATATGGCAAAGCCTAATATATGTGCTTAAGAACCTCAGCAGAAAATATGGTAGCTCTTACTGTGTTTGATACTTCTTCAGAAACGAGGAGACCTGTCTCTTTTACAGTTGCTAGGCACAACTCTAGCAAAGTAAATTGAAGCTTTCTTCTTGCATTTTCAGCTTCATTACATCACTGTGGCCTACAGATGTAATGCAAAGGTGTCTGCATCTGTCTACATGTATTTTTTAACTACAGGGGAAAAAAAGACAGATTCCAAATCCCTAAAATGGAATGTTAAATTCCTACAACCCAAATAAGAGACATCTGGATATCTTCTCTTCTTTTCTGAGCAGTTTCTAATGCCACAGATGTGAGTAAATATTGGTATAATTAATTTTCATAACCTTTTAAACATGTAGTAATTTTCTACTAAAAAAAAATGAAACAGGGAAATTGTGCTTTAGAAACTTACATAATTCAATATTGTAAAGATTAACCAACCCTGAAATAGTATAATAAATGGGAGACAAGAGATGTTCTGGATACAAATGCATGACCTTTGGAAATAAATAAATAAATAAATAAACAAAGCATGGAATTGTCAGTTGTAGTTGACTGTGGTTAGATTTTCATTGGAGGTAGCAGAACATTGATTCAATAAAACATCACTCAGCAAACTGTCCTTTTTTGGCAAGGCACATAAATATTTGCCTAACTTGTTTAAATCCCACAGAGCTTAATTCTGTGCTGAACCAGGTAGTGGGGAAAATGATGCTTAAAAGCGAGGTTCAAATTTCTGGTCTCATTAGTTCCTTGCTTCGTCTCTCAAACTTTGCTACTCACTTAAATCCTTCCCCAATTACTAGCTTTTAACAGCTGAACATCACTTCTTTTTTATATTTAAATAAGTATTTCAACACTCTGAAACAACAGGCATAGCAGTATTTGGTGAGGCATACCTGGACCCTAGGCTGGGTTGGAACTCTTTGTGCCTGCCAGAGGGGAGGAGAGGGAAAAGCCAGCTCAAAAATTATAAAATCACATTTCTTAACCTGATTACCCATAGTTGCTTCGCTCGTATCTTTCTTATTGTATTAACTGAGTTTTGTTCCTTTTTTGAAGATGTGAATAATGCTGCCGTGTTTTTGTACTCATGGAAGTGTACAGAAGTACAGCTGGAGTGAAAACTTGCCTTTGTTCCCAAACAGGTGGTTTCACTGTATGACCAAAGCTAAAGGTCGGCAGAGGAAGATAACAACTCCTTCTGGTTGACAGGAAATTTTGATGTAAGGAGCACTAATTTATTCTGGTTTCCCCTTTGGTAAGTGTTTGATCTATGGCCATAGTGCCCTGGAGGCTGGAACTAATGCTATGGCTTCAGAGGAATCTTCACAGCAAAACCTATCAGGGTTTGCTCCTGGAGCAGTAAAACAAAGCAGGATTGGCCTTGGCATCCAGCAGGCCAGCAAAAGCAGAGATGCTGTCCAAGATCTGGTCTCAGATAAAGGCATCTGCTTAGATATGGACACCAGTAAATTCGACTGGATTTATGAGTAAGACTAAACTAGAGGAAGCTGTAGCAGATCTAGGACTTGCAGAGAATAAAATCTTGCCGTGGAACAGTGTATGTGACTCCTGATGCCCATCTATATGAGAAAAAAACAATTACTACTTGAGCTCTATTTCCAAGAAACCTAGTTGTTTTTTTTTTTTCCTGCTCCTATCTTCCTATCACTTTCACTGTTATCTGGCAACTATATTAAAATATTGATAGCCCTGGGAAAAATTATAACCTAAAAAATGTATGTGTCTTCATAGGAGAACCATGGTTGGTCATTAGATTAGATCTGAACTTTGTCCTCAGAGGTAGTTCAGTCTTTCGTGATGGACTATCTTCTGGAAACTGCATAGTTTGTATAAAACACCTAAGAAGGCTTTCAATACCAGTCCAAATTTTCTAAAAAGGAAAAAGACAAAGACAGGAAAGTGATGAAGATGCAAAGTTAACACAATTTTGTTACAAAAATTAAAATTTCCCATAAAAATGAAAAATTATTCCTAATGGAGATAGTGTAGAGATAAATGATAGCTACAGCATTTCAAAATAGCGATCCAGAAAACTAGTGCTGCCTACCAGACAAAACAGTACAAGCTGTTTCTATGTGTATGAGCAAGCCCCTCATGACAGGGCCCATTAGCAAAAGACTATACACACTTTCATGAGTAAGAAAGGAAATACTTCTTCTACAACTAACTACAAAAAGAAAGGAATAACAAATAAATAAATAAATAAATATTAGTGAGTCTTTTGGATTCTACCACAACAAAAGTGAAGGAAGAAAAAGGTTTTGAAACTCGAAGATGTCCCAATAACAGAAGTTTATGAATTGTCAGCAGCCAACTTATCTAACTACTGATCTAACCAGATCAGTAGTAAAGCTTCTGACATATTAATGAAATTTGTTGCAAGTACTTTTTAAGTAAAAGCAGAATCGTCACAGCACAGGGTTTTATGGTAATGGAGGCTGAATAATAAGAAAATGGAAAGTTGTCATCTAATCATGAAGATCGCTCCCCTTTGAACGTAAAATGCATAAAATATCTGAAATATTAATATAATTGTACAAGGTCCTGAAAATCACAATGAAAATATTTTATGAGTATCCTTAGTGTGCCTGTGACCTATAGAGATCATTAATTTGAAGCCTAATAGCCTACCTGATACTGTACAACTTCCACAACTGATTCAGCAGAACTGTATTATATGTATAATATTGTTAATAATGTATAACATAATAGAATGCCACACGATATTATAAAAAACAGGAGAAGTAGATAATTATCAGTATTACAATATGCCAGTAAGAGATCAAAGAATATAAATGTTATATGGACAAATGAAAGTCTGATGATGCACTAATTTTCTTTTCAAGAAAAGATTACACCACTGGAAAAAAAAGATGGACACAATTCCCATTGCTTTTGTCTTTTTTTAAAAAAAAAAAAAAAAAAAAAAAGTGTGTGGAAAATTAAAGACTCAGTGCAGTAGATTTTTCTCACTTAAAAATATAATTTAAATGATTAGAAAGCACTGTAATTTTTTCAGATCAAGGATACTTGATTGTCCTTATCATCTGTACTTTTCTGCATCCCTGCCTGATATACCTCCTTATCATTTAACTAGCTAATCAATCACTAGACTTTTCCCTACATTTTAAGCACTACAGAAGAGTGTCTTTCCATAGCAAGAAAGGTGGCAATGCGTTGCCCTTACTCTGAATCACCTCTGCTCACTTTATCATCTACATCCCAAAGCTTAAAATAGAGTGATTATGTATTAGGATTCAACGGGACCTCTAAGAATTGCATGAGTAATATTTATTAAATGTTCTCTTTATTAGGATTAAGATTGCCTGTAGTTGTAGAAATCTTCTGCAGGAAAAAAAAAAGTAATTAGAAAGAATGAACTGAAAATGATATATTATAGCAGTCTGCACAGGCAAGACATTGCCTCTAGTGGATCAGGGCTTCGCTTAGCACTGCATGGAGTGCGACTGCAGAGAGAGGAGCACGGAAATCCTCACCTGACTTACTTCTGACAAACCAAGCATGCCTGGCTTAGCCTGCCACTACATTAAACTGCTGAATGAGACACAGTGCTGTGACATCACCTATCTCAAAAGGAACAAATGACTCCTAATTTTTCAACATTCTCACCTACTTACTTTCCTTTTTTTCTGCTTGGTGGATCAGAAGCGCATTATTAAGCACATTATTGTGGGCCAAATGGGGTGATGACCTCCAGCCTTCTGCTGCCCCCTCATTTTAAGGGAGCCTGTGGTTTGTATATCTTAGAGAGAAAAGATGATATAGAAGAACAAACAATATGGTGACTCCATCAGGACTTTTTATTCTTTTTCTACCAAAACATCCTCTTCTAAACTGAAGTGGTGCCTGTGGCCAGATTGCATTGAGAAAAATACTCCTGCTTTCTTTATATTTCTATTGACATACAGGGAAACTGCTGACTCTGCTTTAGACTCAACAATAGTTAAAAAAAAATAAATAAAAAAAGAGAGAGAGAAAAGGAAATTTTCATTTTGTGGAATGGATTTTTATGTCTAAATGGATGTCTCAGTTACCACAGATATTTGAATGGAGAGGAGCTCATTTCCTGGTGCTGATAGGGCACTGCTGAAAATGTTTCATGAGCAAAATGAAGGGTCCAAGTTATAGACTCAGAGAGGCCTAAAGGCTGAAAGTTGATCAAAGCGTTGTGTCTGAAAATCCAAATGTTATTCCAGAAAGGTAAGAGATAAAAATTTGGTATATCTATTAGGAACTTACATGTCATTCCTTTCTCTCCACGTACTTGATGAAGTTATGAAAACCCTGTCAGAAGAACGTAAAAATATGTCCACTGTATTCCATTCTACCCTCACCTTCACAAACCTTAGACCCTGCTCCCGAATTTTGTGTGATTCTGACTTTTGTAAAATGCTTTGTGAAATTACCTGAGTTAAATATCTGTGAATGGCTATACCTGTCTTAAGAAAATCTCTTTTCTCCAATTTGTGGCTACTGCTGTTTAAGAATGAGAATTTCTAAAAGAACAGAAAATTGTGTATGACTTTGTGAAAACAGAAAGAAACTTTATTTTTGATATCAAACTATTAAACATGTTTGTGTTCACATTCACAGACATTCTCAAAGAGTAAAGTATTTGATGTCACACAAAAACTAATCCTCAAAACATGTACTATGAAACTAATTTATTTGGTATCACAGGTTTTTGAAGAATAAAGTTAGCAGGAACAGACTTTCTTTTTCTTCTGTGTAGTCACAATGCTTGTCATAGTAGAGTCCTCACTTCTCTTTCTATGATACTAATATAAATAAAAAAGTAAATACTATTGATGTTACAGCAACATCTGTGAATGAAAGCCCAAGCGAAAACTATTAAACATTTTGCTATATGTGATACAAATACCTGGTGAGAGATAATGCTGGCGTGGAAAGGTGTAGAATTTAAATAAACAAAGCAGACCAAGTGGGAAAGAGGAGATAGAAACATAGGCAGGGAGATGTAAAGTGGCTTGCCTGAAGTCACAGACAAAATCACTGGCTGATAATGGATCCCTAGTCATTGAACTGCAGTGCCTCACCCAGCAGTGCTTGTGTGAAAGTACATCGACTGTTTTGCTGCGGTGCATGTGGATAATCAGATCTGACTCAAAAAAAAAATTAGCAGAGGAAATGTGTTCAGCCATCTCCATAAAAGGCTGAGCTGACTTGCAGAGTCCAAGCAGCTGCAATGGTTATCCAAGCAAGCATCTCCTTGGCCATTAGTAACAGAAACACCTACAGGAGAATGGAAATAACAAGTGGGCTTCTCTTGCACCTACTGTTTTGGAAAGTGATTTCTGTACCCATTAATCTATGCCAACTGATAGGGAGAACTTATTTGTGGTTCCACTACAATGGTATTTCATCACACACATAATTTGACATGCTTTAGAATCTGATTTAATGATCTTCCAGGTCTGTGCCCCAAGGCTGATATGACTAGTTCTCGAATGCATTTCTGACTGTTATCTTGATTTTTAAAGCTAGAAATAGTGAAAGTATTTTCTTTATTTCTCACCATGGTTTCTTCATGTTAGCTCAATGGTTTTCAAAATAAGGTTCCTTTTATAGAGACATTACTCTTTAATTACTAAATTGATCAGTCTTAAATTTTCTTCCTACATGTTGCTTGGAGAAGCATTGTTTCTCAGGTGTGCTCTTCACTGCAAAGATATGGAGCTGTGGTGGTTTTGGAGGACGTGTGAGAAACATTCTCTTTAGAGGATTTATCTCTTCAAGAAAAATTAAGTTTTGTTGCAACTAGATCAGTTCCCCACCATCAAACTAGAAGAGCATCTTGGCTGCTCTTTGGTAAGTGCTAATTAAGAAAGGACTCTGCTCCCTCAGACAGATCAGTGCTGAGCTACTCCAATGACATCGATTGTGCATTTGTAATCAAGACTCAAAGGCTACCGTAGGATTAGGTACAAAATCAAAAAGTGTTATTGAAAAAGAAAATCTGCTGAATCTAGAAACTGTGAAATGCTGTAATCTCCAACATATAAATTTAACAAAGTCTTAAATGACAACAGAGTAGGAGAGAAATCAGGGAAACTTGGAGAGCTCCAAGAAGTGCACGTATCCATATTTAGACCATGTACATGTTTTCATATGTCCATATGCTGGATATGTAAGCCATTATGAGGAGTTACAATTACTGATTTTGCAAACTTAATCTATCAATAATACATACATTTGAATATCACTCTCAACCATAACATTTTATCTACAGAGATTATTATTATTAGCAGGTCATAATTTGCCAGCTATTTTCCTTCAGGCTATCAGGAGCTAAATATGAAACACTGTATTTGATGTTCTGACATTTTCTATTTTCAGTTCAGATTCAGACTTTTGCTAATACTTATATCTGTGTAGGAAAATATGCATGTGCCTCTGTGCTATTTTGAAACACTGCTTGTCCTCTTTTATGTTCAATTATATCATAGTGACCACAAAAATTACCTAATGTTGAGGGAGAATGCAAAATGAAGATAGATTTAAATTTCTTATTTCTGCAAAACCTTGTCTTGGCAAACCAATTTATTTTAAGAACTGTCCAGCCAACAGCTTGTCTGTTTTATTTTTTTCTTCCTCTAATTGCTTTTATGTTCAAATTCAGCAAATGAATATATTTATGGTTAGGTTCAATCAGCAGGATTCCCTTCATTCTTAGCTTTAATCACATTTAAAGATTTCTTGGAAGGAGGCTTTTAAAAGTTGTCACTTGATTGCATATTCAAGAGTTTTGTCTCCTCCTTTATGCTTTTCCTAAGAACTGCAAAGAACCATGATTTACTTCTTTCTTCATACTCTGAAATTTTCACTTTGGATGTGTATAAAAAAACATGTCTTACACTCCTTGCTCTGGTATTGACCTCATATACTTCAAGTGCTGCTATTTTCATTTAATTCAAGAAAAATAATAGTTGCTAAACAAACTTTGTCATTCCCAAAATGTAAATATACAAGCAAACATTTTCTATAACAGTTTATGTTTTTATAGTCTCAAACTGAAAGCTTAAATAAGTATGAGTGCAAGATTCCATTGATAATAAATATTAATGGAAATAATTTAATTCTTTTAAATAGTATAGAACTATCAGTCTGAATGATGTGAGCCACATATACAAGTTGACAAAAATGCAGCACTATGCACCCAGTAATGGGGTCACTGTTTGTGAGTGAACTGAATGTCCTTTATGGGGTAATTTCTGTGCTCACTAACATCAAACACTGCATTTTGCATGTACTTGCTTGATTTGATCCGAGCATAGAATTTTTCTCCAAATTTCCTTTCTTAAAACACTTGCGGTATTTGTGCCCACAGCCACCTCACACCAGCTACAGACTGGACCTCTTGACTTGTAGAAGTTAGAGATGGAAAAGATCTATTATGTCCTTTACTCCATTCCTCTGCTCATGTGAAATTGTTCTGAACAATCTTTTTGAGAAGATACTGCAAAGTATAATCCTGCCTATGCAGAGGGATGGACAGATGACCTACCAGGTCCTTCCCATCTAAAATATCTCTCATGTTATGACTAACTTCACTGTCCTTCTTATCTCCCACTTGCAAAATTCAGGGACCAGACATCTTCATGGGAACTGCTCATGACATAGGCTCTTCCTGCTGCAGTTGTCACTCTCTCTTTCAAGCTTCCTCCCCACTGTAAGCTGTCATGCGTGAATTTCGTTTTTCCACAATATGTAGAAGCTCCTATCTGTTGTAGGTGCATGGTGAAGTGTGACTGGTATTGCTGGGCCGATATATTTTTCTAGTTTTTGCCATTTCTCTCTGGAAAGACTTCCTTTTTACTTCTGCTATCATACACTGTAAGAGCTGTAGCAAAGCAATCCATGATAACTTTCATTCTGAAACATACAGATAACATCAATGAAAAGATGTTAAGTCATCTACATAATTAAATAGCAATTGGCCTTAGCCATTACTCATTATAGTGTAGCTTTTTGTCATTCTGTTTGATGCTAAAGGATGTTCAGCTGCTTGTAATTGATAGAGAGGTTTAATCTGCAGTGGTTTCACTGTAATGAGCCAAGCATGAAACCATTTTTTATGTTAAAAAGGCTAAAAGACTCTTGTTTGGGAGAAGGCATGTGGACAATGCTTGGGGTACCTCAAATTCCCCAAGTAAAGAGATCAGCTTTTCTTCTGTATTAGTTGATTTTCATAAAGAGTTAGTTGAGCAAAGATTGCTTTTGCTTCAGATGTAAAAATTCAGGCCTATTCACAACAATTGAATCACACTGAAGCTATCAGAATAATGTGTTCCTAATCTGAGGACTCAGAATAGCAGAGGCCTAGAAAGAAGCACTGAGCATTTTGCCAGAAATTAATCAGAAAAGAGCTTTCCTTAGTCTCTAAATGAGGCTTGTAAAATTTGTAAAACAAAATGGATGCATTTGAAGAGCAATAAGTGGATTATATCATGCAATTGGGTTTTGTGAAATTCTAAGCAAAATCCATAAATATCAGGTTTGAGGGGAAGTCAACAAGAGAGCCTTGAAAATGGCTCCTTTCTATTATTATTTTATAGTAATATCTCTAACATATTGATGACCATGGCTGGAAATAACGTTATAATTCATATTATCTTAGTTAAGTCAGCAGCAGAAGAAATGTCCAGCTAACTACACTGCAGGGTTCTGAGCAGTTGTCTTTGAATAAACATTTGCAGTGTTTTAATATACTACCCAGCTGTTTGCATCCCATCACAGCTGCAGCAGAAATAGGTGAGATTTACTTACAACTCAGACGTTCCATGTAGCTGTGAATTCACCTTTATCTGTGGTACAATCTAATACTCTGACTTGCTGTAGGTGAGGCACAGGCAACCCTTTTGTTTTGCCAGCTCCAAAACTGTGGCAGAGGAGTAGATATGACAGCTGTGGCATAACTAGCAAGAGCTGGTCAAAGAGCCCTAAACCAGATGAAAGAGAGAAGAACCTTTAGGCTGACGTTAATGATCATCAGCTATCCAGCAGGCAGAATATCAATAAAAACTTAAAAGCGCTCCTTTTTCTCCTTTACAAATTAACCCTGCACCAGTGGTGAAGAATTCCTCTGGGATAAACACGGCAAGACACTGGGAGGCTCGAATAGTACAGGAAGTAGTAGGAGGAGAGCAACACCTGAGAGAAAAACAACCATAAACCAAACTACAAAACAAACCAAAGAAAAAGCCACACACAAGAAAACCCAAAACCAGGCTGCTTCTTCCTGAGCATTGAGGTTGGTCAGGAAAACATTCCACAGAAACTGTCATAAAACCTTTGGCTAAATTAATGGACTGTTTTACTTTGCAGAGAGCTCTAAAAGCCACCTCCTCTATCTCAGTGCTCCAAGCAGGTGGTGTCAGATCACGTTGCTGAGTGTTACATGTAGTTGGATCTTGAGCACCTCTAAGAGCAGAGATGACAAAACCTCTCTGACAACCTACTCCAGTCTTTGACTTCCCTTACTGCCATGTAGTTCTGCAGACAATATTGAGAGGAGAAAAACAATCAGGAAAGTGAAACAAGAAATTTTATACAAAACCCATGCTTTGCACCTTATAAATATACGACACGGGGGAAGTCTTCTTTGTGCCTTTGAAAAAACTGTTTGCATCAGCACAATTAAATGAAATACATAGGATGGATTCTCAAGTGTAGGACTTGTGGTTGATGACTGAGAAGTGACTTGCCTAATGCAAAAGACTAGGGAGAAGTATGCTTTTGTAATTCACATGGTTGTTTTGTTTTCTGCATCAAATCAATGATTCTACTTGTGATGGCTGACAGTTTTGAACTGTCACCCAAGAAATGAGTGAGAGTTTTCATATTGATGTGAATTTGCAATAAAAAGGGATTTTTAAAAGTTCTAAGATGCATAGACATTCATATGGCTGTAAAAGTAAGAAATTAATTTACAGATCCAGGGAAAAATACAGGAAGTTTTACAATTTTTTGAATTTGTTTGGCTGTGGGTTTTTTCTTACAGAAAAGATCAAAACAGCAATGCATTCATTTTAAAAGGAAAGAACACTGCTTCTTCATCAACATAAAGGAGAAAACATCACTGTTGTTTTATACATTACCTAAAGGTGTGCTTTAATCTGATTTTCAGGTAGAGCTTTGATCCTAAGATAATCACAATCACAAAAAAAAGCAACACAATCATTTTCAAATAGACCTTTATTCTTTTTGATGCAACAGTCTAATTAGAACGGACTGAAATTCCATTCCTTGTGAAGATTTTCAAGATTTGATTTAATTTCATATCAGGATGAAAAATTTACATTTAAATTTTTTGTCAAAACAAATATTTCAACTTTCTCAAAAAATTAGTTTTTCACTTGTGTGGTATGTTACCAAATGATAAAGGTATACATTTAAAACAAAATATCTCAGTAATATCCCACATATTTTTTAAATTGTATTGGTATGTTCCAAAGCAATATGTTGATATAATAAAATCATAATTAAATAATGTACTCTAATGAATTGTAAAAATAAATTGAATTTTTCTTAATAGTCAAGGTAATCCCTGATCCTAAAAATCGTGCAAATCTCTGCCCCTAATCAGTGAGTGGTTTTAGCATGGGATTCTATTGAATCACCGGGAACAGTAGCCAGCTTCTGGAAACATTCCTGCATAATCTTTTTTTTTGCTTTGCAAGATTTTTTTCTATGAATCAATAATATAATATGCTGGCATGTAAATGAGTTATGTACCTCAGTTTTAGCAATTAATATAATATAGGTGTGAGCTGCAAACAATGATTCATCACTGATACTCCCCTTTGGGCTATGTGAACATGCATCATGGTTTTCCAATAGCTTCTAATTTGTGACCTAAAAAAAAATCAAATTGAAACAACTTGTAATACTTTTCCATTATTCCTTCAGAATTTCCATCAGTGATTCTGTGATCATCTAATACAAAAGTCCCCTTTATCAGGTTGTTCTTTTCTTCATAATGAGAAAAATTTTAACTCCTGTTTAAGAAAAAATGAAAGAGAATTTGGGGATCATAGCAGATCATAGAATCACAGAATACGTTGAGTAGGAAGGATCCCACAAGGATTATCGAGTCCAACACCTGGCACTCTACAGGAGTCACACCGTGTGCCTGTGAATATTGTTCAAACACTTGAACTCTGTCAGGCTTGGTGCTGTGACCACTTCCCTGGGGAGCCTGTTCCAGTACCCAACCACCCTCTGGGTGAAGAACTTTTTCCTAATATCCAACCTAAACCTCCCCTGACACAACTTCAGGCCATTCCCTCAGGTCCTGTCACTGGTCACCATAGGGAGGAGATCAGTGCCTGCCCCTCCCCTTTCCCTCCTGAAGAAGTTGTAACTGTGATGAGGTCTCCTCTCAGTCTCCTCTTCTCCAGCTGAACAGACCAAGTGCCCTCAGCTGCTCCTCATTTGGCTTCCCCTCAAGGCCTTTCACCATCTTCATTGCCCTCCTTTGGACACTTTCTAACAGTTTAATATCTTTCTTATATTGCGGTGACCAAAACTGCCACAATATTCGAGGTGAGGCCGCACGGCCAAGTCCATGCTCCTGCCAGTTCAAGGTATTCCTACTCATCAGGTACCAAACTGCTATTATAAATGACCTTGGGAGATAACTTGGCCTGTAAAACTTCTTTTAGAAGATTTTTAAGAGCTTCTGAGGATTTAGTGAATTCAAGGACCTCACAAATCACCTGCATCCTACTATTGTTGCCTCTCATAGCTCTTGCACAAAGCTCTGTCTGTTGAGCTGAACCTCCAAGCAAGCAGCCCTGGTGAACAGCAGTGCTTAATCCTTGTGGTTCTTAAAGATGCAGAACGTGGATATCCATCCATGGATATCCATCCATGTGACTAAAACCATAAAACTAAGAAGAAAGGACAGTCTGTCGCCCCTGACATTGAAGTGAAGAGGGGACTAATATAAGCAATAGAAATAAACAGACATGCCAGCTCACACAGTCTGTGAGGCAAGCTCTTGAGATCACACATCAGTTATGCTTTGGGAGACGTATCTGAGTAACGTGGTAAAGCACTGCAGTGGCGTGGAGCTTCTCCAGGAAACTGCATTGCTCCAACTGGCAGGAGGAAAAATCAAGATAGGTATTTTACTTGATTTTGAAGATGTTCTTTCGGAAAAAAAGAGCATACAACAAGTTTCTTTCTGTGGCTTTACTGCCCTTCATACTATAAAGGGAAATAAGGCACAAGTTGGCACTTCTTAAAAATAACCAGTCCGCAAAAGGAATTGAACGAAAAGAAATTGTGACTAAAGACATAAAGACTGCAACTTGCCCACAGTCTACAGGAGGAACAACTGTCTAGGTTTTTAGCAAAATAGAGATGTATGTAGTTCACTTTACAATCCCAGAGTTATCTCTTTTTTTCTTTTCCTCATTATTTCACATGTAATTCCTTTTTCAGGCAAGCACTAATGTGATTATTTTTTGAAATATTTTTACCTTTTTTTTAATTTAAAAAAATGCACTGAAGATGTAAAAGTGAGATGTAAGAGATGTGTCAAAGAGAGATTGCTCTAATAAGACATTCACGGGTGATTTGATTTCCCCTGCTGTTGCAGTAAGTCAGTAGATAATATCATATTTTAGAGTCTCCTAAAATTTTAAAACTGTTCATGAGGAGTATTGATGACATTGCTGCTGTAGTTAGGTATGTCCTTTAATTCTTCAGTGAAGAAAAACTGTTGTTACTTTTTCCACTAGAATACTAAAAACTACAGGTATGTTAATAGAAGGAATTGAATTTAAGTACCATCCAACAGAACTTAAATGTTGTTATTCAGGCAGCTACAATTGCAAATGAGCAGTGATTTTTCCAAACTGAAGCTCCCGTTCCTAGTGTTTCTAACACTGTTAGGTCTCTGCGATTGGGATCTGCTTTTGGACCCAAATAATCTCAAAGCTCTTTCACTCTGTAAACTGTCACATATGTCAGGTATGCAACAACCTAAGCCAAATACTGTTTGTCACACACACCCTTTGACAATTATTTCCATTTTTTTATCAAATAATTTATGTGATGAGCAGTGTTTTGTTGCATTTGACTAGCTTCTGCAGCTTTGTTCGATAAATTATTTAGCAAATAACAGAAACATTCATCAAATAATGTAATCTGTAGAGTATTGGATCCTTTTGGTGTTTGACTGGCTTAGATAAAAACATATCAGGAAAATGGAAGCTATGAAAATATAGTGATAAGACCATAGCAGCTTTCCCAGAAGGTTTCACAAACCAGACTGGAAATAAAAAAAAAAAACAAACCAAAACATTGCTCATTGTACATCTTCTATGCCTCCTTAGTTTCTTATTTTTGTACCATAGGCATTAATTAATTGTTTAATTGGAACAGCAAAGAAATTGTGTTGTTGAGCATGTGATGCTGATAATTCAGAAAGCATACAGCTGGCTACTGAAAAATGAAAAATCAAAAGACAAGAAAAAAAAGATTTAATGAGGTGTTTTTCAGCTGTTCAGTGAATCAAACAGATGTCTTAATAATTAACCTATACTTTAAGATGAGTTTACATACTTAGTGGGGCTAAAAACGTAGACTATTGTAGCAGGTTTCTGTGTTAGGTTTTGGTAGCCGGGGGGCTACAGGGGTGACTTCTGTTAGAAGCTCCAGAAGCATCCCCTGTCTGGTAGAACCAATGCCAGCCAGACCCAGGATGGGCTTCCTGACACTGGCCAAGGCTGAGTCAATCAAGAGTGATAGTAACACCTCTGTAATAACATATTTAAAAGTTATTGTGCAGTCAGAATTCCAGCCAGGGAAGAGCAGAGTGAGAACATGTGAACAACAAAGTAGACACCAGGGTCAGTGCAGAAGGAGGGGCAGGAGGTGCTCCAGGCACCAGAGCTGAGGCCCTGCAGCCCGTGGTGCAGACCATGGTGGGGCAGCTGTGCCCCTGCAGCCCCTGGAGGGACATCAGGGTGTGGAGACCCACCTGCAGCCCATGGAGGATTATCTGGATGTGGAGACCCACCTGCAGCCCATGGAGGATTATCTGGATGTAGAGACCCACCTGCAGCCCATGGAGGGACATCAGGGTGTGGAGACCCACCTGCAGCCCATGGAGGATCATCTGGATGTGGAGACCCACCTGCAGCCCACGGAGGCTCCCATGCTGGAGCAGGTGGATGCCCAAAGGAGGCTGTGATCCTGCTGGAGGCCCAAAATGGAGCAGGGTCCTGCTGGTGACTGCAGCCCATGGAGAGGGAAGGCCATGCTGGAGAAGCTTTTCCTGAGTGGGATTTGTAGCCCCTGTGGGGGACCCACACCAGTACAGCTCATTCGTGAAGGACTGTACCCCATGGAGGAGGGACCCATGGGATGGCAGTTTCATGAAGAACTGTTGTCTGTAGGACGGACTCATTCTGGAGAGGTCCATCAAGGACTGTCTCTCGTGGGAGGGACCCCATGGGAGCAGGGGAAGGACTCCCCTCCCTGAGCAACGGCAGAAACAGGTGACTGAAACCCTCATTCCCTGTCCCCCTGCACTGCTGGGGGGGGAGGAGGGAGAACATGGAAGGAAGGGGGGGGGAAGGTGTTTTTAAGATTATTTTACTTCTTGCTCTTTTGCTCTGATCCTATTAGTAATAAATTTAAGTATTATCCCCACTTTGAGTCTGTTTTGCCTATGAAGCTAATCAGTAAGTGACCTCTCCCAGCTCTTATCTCAACTCATGAATCCTTAACTTTTTTTTTTTTTTTTTTTTCTCTCTCCTCTGTCCAGTTGCAGAGGGGAGTGAGAGAGCAGCTGTAGTGGGTACCTGGCGTCCAGCCAGGGTTAACCCACTACAACTATATATTGCCATCATGTGCTGTAAGGAAAAACAATTGGCAGATGTCTGAAGGAGCTGTACCTTTACTGGGGTGCTCAAATCTCTGAAAATACATTGATGTAGTTTTCTCACACGTAGTGTATAAGCTGCACCACGACCTTTGGAATAACACAAATGAGCTCAGAGGAATCACACTTGGAGCTTGTGGTAACAATTGCAGGGATGTGATGAGTTGGGAAGTGTGCTCAGTAAGGTGCAGAGGGACACCGCAGGTGAGTTTGGCAGGGCACAGCCTAGAAAGGTACCCGTTTCCGTGGGGGTGATGTGGTCCTCCCAGACTGGCTCTGTAAGCCTGGAAATGTTGTGCATGTCTTCACCTGTGCAGAACAGGAGCTCTATGAGCACAGCCCAGGGGCACCAGGGAGCATTGCTGTTTCCCACGTAAAGGAAATGAGGTCTAGAAATTTTTAGCTTACAGCCTTGATCCAATTCCCATTTGAAGTCTTCCTGCTGATTTCAAGCTGGCTTTGGTCTGGTTACAGGAGGAAAAGAGACTTAATTGTCAAGGCAGCTGGGGGTGATCTTGTTTAAAGTGTCTTTGTAAAAAGCTGGTGGCAGACAACAGCTGATGGCTTAAAGACATACTTCATCAAATTATATGTCCACTTCTGGTACTAAAAACTAATGCATTTGTCACATGCAATTGGTCCTAAAGCAGGCAAAAGTACTTCACAGCATGTCCTCTGAGAGCTATCATAAATAGAAATCAGAAGAAATGCCAAAATCTTTAAGGCTTGACAGCAAATGATGTTTTAATTCAGTGGACATACAAAACTCTCTTTGACATCTAAATGGATGTTTGCCATTAGAAATCTCTCCCCCTTCCCTCAAATCTTGTGACAAAAGAAGACATGTACACAAATGTAATTGTTTATTTTAATTTAAAAAGCATAATTTGCATAGTACAGAGAAGGTTGCATTCAGAAGGATTGAGCCAACGTTCTGAAGATGGAGATGTCAGCAAACTGAGAAAAATTTTATCTCAAAGGGGAAATAGAAGCCTTTAAAACTGCATCACTATTTACAGTAACCTCAGCACAGGGTGGAGTATACACATAACATAAATGTTATAATCCCGATCCTTTACCCCAGGATTAGCCTAGCGACTGTAATTACAATGAAGTAGAAGGTCAAACTCTTGGAAAGGAAATCTTATTGCTTTTGCAGCTGTTACCTGTGTTAAAAATGTTTCTGTTGAATCTCCTAAAAACCGATCTACCAAGTTGTTT